TTCTTCAAATCAAAAGGGGAACAAGTATTCAGACAAGAGGCATCTTAAGTGCACTCATTGTGGAGGTGAAAGGCATGTAAAAGAGAAGTGTTGGGTTCTTTATCCTCATCTGAAACCAGCTGCCTTGAGGAAAGACAAGAAGCACCAGAAGGGTCAAGCAGCAAGTGGGAACCTTGTTACTAGTCACAGTGGTGATAGCACACAGAACACATCAACAGTWGCTTCTTCTCCMATGGRACAGACTGCTAATTCCTCTGTATCCGGGTCCTTGGGTTTCACTGCTGATGAGGTAGAGGTCCTTAGCCGGGCTTTAACCCGTCTAAGGACTAACTCTCTTGCTTCCACCTCCCTTGCTAGATCAGGTATTGTCTTTGCTTTTAATGCAACTAGTTCTATTGACTCTACTTCTTGGATTATTGATTCCGGTGCTACTGACCACATGACACATATGTAACTAGCTTTTCCCCTTACTGTTACATAAAGTTTTTCACTTTTAGCCCACTCCAGGTAGTTTAGACCATTTAAAGGGGTAATGAGCATGGGAAACATCATGTTTTTACTTCCCATACCAGCTGTGCTACGGGTTGGTGTAACCCCCGATGAAGTTGAATCATAGTTTGCCATAGAGTACTGCTGAATCAGACCAAATCCCACACAACTACACAACAGCCACAATCAGAATACAAACCCCCAAGAAATTTACTTCTGGAATGTGGAAAAAACAAAAACTGCTGAAATCAACTCAGTGATGGTTCAGCCATTAAAACAGCCCAGTAATCAGTCCAGCACTAGCTGTTAGAATAGTATACTAGCAGTTTGACTACAACACATGCAATCTAACAGTCCAGCATCTAAACGAAGGTATAAAACCAAAAAGGTAAGGCTTTTACACCACTGGCCATAGAAAAACACAAGAACACATACCCTGTCCAGCATGTGTACGAAGGTGCCAACCCAGAAATTAACTTCACAGCATTGAACAGATGAGGAAGGGAGTCTTTACTGCATCGCCGTTCTTCTGCTAGGATTTACTTGATGTTACGACCAAGGAAGAACCCAATGGAAGAAGCCGCAAGTGGCCTGCTAGGGTTTCTCTGTCTTCCACGTCCAAGAAATCAAAGAAGAAAGAGGACTAAGCAGGTTCAGATGGGAGAAACAGATTTTTATAGCCCAGAACCTGGCTCTGATACCATGTAATCATTGATGGAGAGAGAGAGACGAGAGAGAGAAAGAGAAGAGAAGAGAAGAGAGGAAAGAGGAGAAGAGGAAGATATGATTGAGAGACACAAAAAAACCTCCTCTGGCGGCCGCCAGTTTAGTTATTTATATTAACTTAATATAAAAGGAATGGGAGATTACAAGTATACCCCTGGTGGCACTGCCTAGTAACAAGCTAATAAGAAAGAAAGAAACTAACTAGCTGACAACACAGTAACAGCAACTGTAAAATAACAATTAAATAATCCTCACAACAGAAACCATTAGGCCCTGGAGCTTTGTCTCCATTTATCCTCTTTAAAGCCTCTCTGACTTCTACTTCAATCTCCCTCTCCAGCCACCTAACTGCCCTCTCACTCTTTTTTTTTTTTTTGGTTTCTACTTCCCCCAGGGAAATCCAGCACCACTGCCTCCCTGAGTACTACTAAATTTTGAATACTTTCCCAGTTCTCAGTCAACTCCTCCCCTACTTGTACTCTTGAAATCAGATTTCTTCTTTTTCTCCCACTTGCGAATGCGTGAAAGAAAGCTGTATTTTTGTCCCCCTCCTTTAACCACAGTGCCCTTGATTTCTGCCTCCATCCCACCTCTTCTCTCATCAACAACCTGTCTAACTTCCTTTCCAACCCTTCTTTCTCCAACCTAGCTTCTCTTGGAAATATCTCTTTCTCCTCCTTTAATCTGTCCAGCCTAGCAATCTTTTCCAACACTTCTTTTTTGCTGCCTTCCTCATCCCCTAATTCTCCCTGTCTTCTTCCTTTCAACTCTTCTTTAACTGTCTTCTCCATCCGCTTTCAGCTCCACCCACTCTCCCCCATCCTTCCCCCATATCTCATTCATCACATTTATGTTGAAAACCTCTAGTTTCATTTCCTATAAGATGACTACATCAGGCTTCTTCTTCCTAATTAATTTGTGTACTAGAGCTCACCTATTTCTTCTCCTTTAACCCTTGGCATTCCAGCTTAGCAACTTCATCCTTCTTCATCCCCCTTCTCTATATGGGTTCCCTCGGTTTAACCCTCACTCTTCAACTACAACTTGATCCTCCTCTGCCCCTTCTTTGTTCCATCTTTTCTCTTTATTTCTTTCTTCTCTTTTTTTGGCCTTCTCTTCTATCTTCTTTCAAAATGTTCGAAGGCTATTTTAGCAAAGCCCTCTCTTCCCCTAGAAGCATAGTCTGAGAGATTTTCCTATTGTGACCTCTTTGTCAACTATCTTGTTCAACTCCAAGTTCTTCTCTATGGCATAGGGGTGTAAATGGACCGAATTCGAATTGGATCAGGCCATATCCAAATTTGAATCTGATTAGAAAATCCGATATCTGAATTCGATTCGATATCCGATGGGTATTGAAAATTAATATCCGAATTCAAATCCGATTAAATATTCGAATATTCGATTCGATTAATTAATTATTTTTGATAATTAATAAATATATAAAATAAATATTTTATTGATATAAAGTATATAAATATATAAATTATTCATATAACTTAATTATTATATATATAAATTATATAAAATATTTTATATATTATATATAAGAATTAAATAATCGGTCGAATTCGGATATTTGTCGAATCAAATCAGGTCATATCCGAATTCAAATCCGATTAACTATTCGGTACAAATAGGATATCTGAGTTCAACCGATTAGATATTCGAATTATCCGAATTCGATTTGATTATGTCGAATATCGAATTTGAAATTGGATTTTCAAATACCGTTGACACCCCTACTGCGACACTCTCCTCTTTCTCTCCTCCCCCCTTTATTTCTTTGCCTAAACCCAATGACATCCTTCTATTATACACCATTTTTTTTCTCTCTGAATTCCTCTTCCTTCCTCTTTCGTTTTCTTTTCCCTTCACGCTTTCACTGACCCTAGGTTCCTTCTTTTCACCTTCGTCAATTCTTGTCACCTCACTAGGATAGAGGAAGTGGGGGAAATGATGCTTACCTCTTCTGATCTGTCTACTACTATAGGGTTGAAAGACTGGATTGTCGCTTCGCCCTTTCTCTCTACCTCAAATTGAGGTTTCCTTGTTCCAGTTAACTTCCACCTCCACCCTGCAACTCTTCTTGTTCCTCCCTCCTTTTACCACTATCGTTTCTTTTCCATCCTTCCCCATATTTTGTTATCATCCAAACCACTCCTCCCTCCCTTTTTTTTCTTCTTGACCCCCTGTTTCTTTTGTTATTTTTTGCTTTCCGATTATGCCCCCCTTATTTCACACCTAAGCCCATAGAGAAGGTATTTTTTGAGTTCCTCACCCCTTTGTGGGCCCCGCTACTTAAAGCCCCCTTTTTTGACTCCATTATCTAATGATTCCTCTTCTTTGTCCCTCTGACCTTTTGAAGTCATTCCAGCTCCCTCCCCACTTAATATTTCATTTTCCGTGTCGGATAAGTTAAAAACTTTGTCATGCGATGCCCTTTTACCCCTAGACAATTTCTCTTCGTCTTCTTCTTCCCCTGACTACCAATTTGTCTCTCCTTCTTTTGTCTCCCTCCCTTGCTCCGGTTGAGACTGCCATCCCTTCCCCTGCACCTTTTCCGAACTGGTTTGATCGCCGAAACTTCTCTGGCCTAGGAACGTGAAGTTGTGGCTTTCTAGCAGGATCCTCAAATCATATATTTCACCTATGAAATTCATATTCAGCTTGTTTGGAACGTCTTATCGCTGAATTGCAGGAAACCCCTGCAATGGTTTCCTATGGCCTCGAAGGTCTTTATACTCCAAGCATGCAAGGGATTTCCTACCACATCGATCCAGACAGCCCTTCTCTTTCTCCGAAATGGCAGAGCTCAAGCCGCCAGGAACCACCAGTCTAGTCTGAGGTCAAACTCCCTCTCATTCGGTCTCTATTGATTGATAACAATCTCTGCCATCGCCTTTATATGAAACATAAATAGGAGCAGCCTGCCATTTAGTTTTCTTACCCCCATTAACTTCTCATTTCCCCACTCTATCTTCGCCCAGATTTCCACCTTCTCCATTTCTAAATCTATGCCAACAAATCTTCCCACTAAACTTGCCTCCAGCACTTGCATCCTCTCAGCCATCTTCCTAACCCTCGGACGTCCACCTCAATCATGCTCTTCCTCCTCTCATCCATATTCCCTAACCCCCGAATGTAAATGATTCTAATAGATCAACCAAATAATTTATTACACAAATGAAAACTAATATTTAACTTCATGTTTGAAAAGAACATTGAGCTGGCTCAATGTGGCAATTATGTCCATTAGATGGGCAGTGACATTGCTACTCCACATATCTTCAATATTGTCACCAACTTACATAGTTACATTATAATACTATCTCTTATACTACACATAGTACTGGTAGTGTTCATTGGAGAATGTGTCAATTCCAGTAAAATTTTGTGTCAACATCTGTGGAAATAAAAACATGTCGTGGAAATATTAAGAAATTTATGTGCATTTTAAAGCATGCAAAAAAGACCCATAACCTGTCTTTTCCAGTCTCTTCATACACTCTATAATACAATAAAGCAAAAGCTAAACCAATACAGAAGAATCCAGTTCAACTCACTCTTAATTGCTGCACTCTTGGCCAAAGAGTTGGCATGGCTAGATGATTTCTCAATGTCTAACCTGGTTGAGCAAGATTTTCTGGACTGCTAATGATCAAGCCTATATAATACAATGATTATGCTCCTGTTGATTCTCTCCATTCCTGGCCAAAGATGTTTGTTTTTCTGGGTTATCCTTTTCATGTTCATTGCTTTCTAATAAAATTTCCACATAACAGCTTATGGACAGGACTTCCCTTGGTCTTCCTCCCAAATCACTTGCTTTGGAGATTGCACAGTTTTACACAGATTTGTACATGCGAAGGTCATTTCTTGCATCTATTTTGCCTCTCAAACCCAACCTGATTCTCTTCCTGGGTGATTATTTTGATGGTGGGCATCTCTTGTCAGATGAAGAGTAAGTAATTGGAAATTGGAGGTCACTTTTAGTTTAGCCTCTTTTTTTACTGTTACTAATGTTTTTCTAATTGCTTTTCATATTTATAAATGAGTTGCTCCTTGATATGGATGTTTTTATTTTGCATTTCACTGAATATCCCAAAAGATAGTTAAATAGTGCCACAGTAATTCATTGCTTGAATGTGTGATGACATATTTCAATGTATAATGGCTGGAAATTTTAACAGAGGTGAGGTGCTGAGTTAGCAAAATCAAGGAAAAAAGAATGAGATTTAAGATATATAAGGGCTTGGTTTTGAACCAAATGGACTATGCCATTAATAGGTACGTTTTAAGATGAGATTCAAGGGTTTAAGGTGACTGGAGACAGCTTTAAAGGGGTTGTAAGTATGAAATTACTAATTAGGCTTATAACTGTAGATGGAAATTAAGAAATCAAAGAAACTAAAGAATAAGGACATCACCAGAATTTGATCAGGAGGGCTCAAAGGATTACTGAGAATTCTATTTGGTGGAGTTATTAACTATGCATTGCAAAAAGAAGAATAACTGGTAGGCTAGGAGGTTTTAGCAATAGAAGGAAATATAAATGTAGGGGAGATGGCATACGGTTTATAAGATAGGTAGCRGTAAGAACAGCATCACCCCAAAATCTTGTAGGAACATGTGAGGCAAACAAAATGCTTCTTGCAACTTCAACAATATGTCTATTTTTCCTTTCAGCAACTCCATTTTGTTCAGGGGTTCTAACACAAGAGCTTTGGTGAATAACCCCCATGTCAGAGAGATACAAGGATAAGTTCTTTTCAAAGTACTCTTTTGCATTGTCGGATCTGAAAACTTTAATTCTGGTATCAAATTGGGTTAAAATAAGCTCATGAAATTGCCTCACAAGTCTTGGAACTTCACGGGATTTCATCAGGTATATCCAAGTGAATCTAGAAAATTCATCAATAAACAGGACGAAATATCTGTAGCCCCCCATAGAAGATAAGTGGTAAGGCCCCTACACATCAGAGTGCACAATGTGAAAAGGAAAARAAGATCTTTTATTTCTCAYAGRATAATTGTTTCTACAATGCTTTGACAACTGACATGACTCACAATTGAGACTGGACACACTGACTCCCTTAAACAATTCGGGAAGTAAATGACTTAAAGCAGAAAAAGGTAAATGACCAAAACGATAATGACTCAACATGATTCGACTGACAGACTCCGAAGAAGTAGAACCAAAGGCAGTTCTTGGGATAATCAAGGCATTGGCCAGGAGTGTTGAACAAGTATTCCGTTCGCTTCATGGCCACTCCCCCTCTAACACTCTAAATCATTTTATTAACTTAATCTTTGAAATATTACAGAGGGGCCCTTAGATGGGCAAGAAATTACAAAACAGAGTATGTAAGAGTATGGGCCTAGAATAAGGCCCATTACAGAGAAAAAAGATAAACATAACATAGAATGACAGCTTATGGGCCATTCGGCCCATCTCCTCTACATAAAATAAAAACAGCTAATATAGATAACAGAAAACTTAATTTTCTTGAGAAACAATATCCAAAATTTACAATGTCCCAGAGCCATGTACCTCTCTTTCACATCCTCAAAATCAGGACTCACCATTTGAAATCTTTCCTGTAGCAAATGTATTGGCCATCAAATTAGCATATTTTGGATTCCATCTAAATGAAATCTTTGTTTTGAAAGCTGAGGAACGTATCTAATATGGTTCTCTAATCCTTGGGGAGAATGATTCTATATGTTGAAGTACTATGGTCTGCCTCTTCCTGGAATCATATATCTTTTCAGTCTTGGTATGTGGTCATTGAAAAGATAAAGAATATCTTGTTGGGAAAATCTACTTTTTCCTAGGATTTGGGATGGAACTAGTTAAATCTACCTTGTCCAACTGCTAAATCTATTACATATTTAGTACTAAGTTGTTAAGATGATAAAACACATTAAACTAACTCTTGAAGGTGTCAAGTAGTTTAGCTGGTAAAATCTTGGGGAGTTGAATCTGAGACCTGGTGCTGAATCTTGTGTTCATTGATTATAGCTACTGGCATGGAGCTCTGAAATGGGAGTTCACTGCATGAGGGTTTCTCTCTCCTTATCTTGCAGAGTTTGTCAGGATGGAGAAGGGTAAGAATGTATCACAGGAAGGTTGAGCACCATAGGCGCGGTTTCCTTCAGCTCCTTCGAAGGAAGATGACTTCTCATCATACAGGTATAGTGAATGCTTCTCCTAGTATTTTTCATATACTCAGGTAAGTGGGGACTGCTCTGAGCATGCAACTAACATGCAACCATCTTTTGAAACCTCATCCAACCCACCTAGCAGTTGATACTAGGCAACCTCTCTACCTTCACAAAGTCGGTCATCTCATGAACCATTTGAATCAATACGGGGAGATAGCATAGTGGTAGGGAAGAGTTTTAAAGATAAACTATTGCAACTAGTAGATGAGTCCAATACGTTGAATTGGTACAAGGATGCATATATCGAGTCTCAGATGGATTACACAACCATGACATCCCATGATGCTACCATTGCTGAAGATGCAAATCTCTGTGTCCATTCCTATAGTCTAAAGGAGTGCATCTGTCATCCATGGCGTAATATGCTAATTAGTATGATTTTGGGTAGACCTTTGAGTTATCATCTAGTAGTCTAGATTATACAACAGTTGTGGAAACCATCTGGTTCTTTGGATATCATCGATTTTTCCAATAATTTTACTTGAAAGAAGAAGAAGAAGAACTGTTTACTGTATTATAGGTTTGAAGAGAAGAAAAGAGAGAAAGAGAGAGAGAGAGAGAGAAAAAGAGTGAAGAGAGGAGAAAAGAAAGAAGGGGTTCAGTGGTGAATGATCTTCTGCCCCATACACTCCTTTATTTATAGCTTTTAGGATCCTTACAAAAAAAGGAAATAAACAAAAATTAGAAACAATAAGGTCAGCCATCCCAACTTAACAAAAATTAGAAACTTCTAATAACAGAAATTAGAACTACTAAAAAGAAATTAGAAACAACTAGGTGTGGGTATGAAACCACACACACTAGAGCCTGAGTGTGGGTATGGAACCCCACACTCGTGGCTAACCAATTATTTCTTCACTCCCCCTCAAGTTGGGAGTAGATATTTGTCATTCCCAACTTGTGTAGATCTGTTTCCAATTTGCCTTTTGTGACTGCTTTGGTGAGGAGATCAGCTAACTGCTTGTCTGAGGCAATGTAAGGAAGGCATACTTCTTGAGATGCGACTGGCTCTCGGATAAAATGTTTGTCAACCTCGATATGCTTAGTCCAGTCGTGCTGTATTGGGTTGTGGGCAATATTAATTGCAACTTGATTATCGCAATACAACATCAGAGGCTTCTCATAATCAACCTCCAACTCATTAAGCAAGGATCTCAACCACCATGGATCTGTATTCCGCTTCTGCATTGGAGCGAGCAATAACATTTTGTTTCTTGCTTTTCCAGGAAACAAGATTTCCCCCCACAAATGCACAATATCCAGAGGTGGATGTCCTATCATCAACACATCCAGCTCAATCCACATCTGTATACACTTCTCACACTATCTCTTGTCAATAACTGTTGTCTCACAATGTCATATTCAGAGTTCAGACCAGTTGGGAACTCAAAAGCTCTGTTAGTTTCAACCTACTTTCTATATGTTTGTGCATCTTTCTGATTCTCCCACTCAATTGTTTCAGATGGTCAATTTCATGCCACAGGGATTTTAAGGTTGAAAAGTAAACAGAGACCTGCTTCTCTCCTTGCCTCAGATTTTTAACCTCACATTTTAGCTCATAAGCCCTAGCAACATTAAGAGGTTGAGAGTAAGTTTCCTTCATAACATCCCATATTTCCTTAACTATTTTGGCCCACAAGTAGTTTCGACTAATGTGTGGCCGCATAGAGTTGCACAGCCATGTTATCACCAAAAAAATTTTCTTGGACCCACCTAGCATAAGTAGGGTCCTCCTTGGAGAGCTCCTTCACATCCCCTAGCAAGAAGCTCAATTTTCCTCTACCCCCAATAGCCATCATGGCTGATTGGGCTCATTCCAAGTAGTTTGGTCCATCAAACTTAACAGTTGTAATATGAAAGGTGTTTTCAGTCATGTTACCTGAACCACCAGTCCCAAAAGCACCTTCCCCTTGCTTCTTGTACTCTATTCTAAGTTAAGAAGAGGCTTTAAACTACTGTGACAAGAAAAAAACTGTATTTCAAGGCTGATAACAGCCAACCTAGGACAACGATTTTGTAGTTAAATATCAGTCAACTACTGTCCTAAGATTGATATCAACCTTGGACTGATTGATATCAGTCCTGAGATTTTCTATCCGTACCTCTCTGAATGAATAACAAAGTCTTTTTGAGTATCAATCTCAAGAAAAGGTACTTACTTTATGAAGAAAAAAGCCTATAAAACTGATTGCTACCTTCAGTCTTCAAACTTGATCAATCGATTACTGTCAGCGCCTTGAATCTTGATCAAAGAACCAAGAAAAAAAACTGATCGGCACCTCCAATCTTGATCAAGAATCGATTTTGATCACTCAATTCCTACCTGATTCTTCCCGATTACAAGAAGCTCTCTCCAATCTTAGGACAGCTGCTAAAGCCTTCTTGTAACCTCCAAGAATCAGCCGAAATAAGGATCTTTCTGAACTTTCAGCCCTAAACAATTCTCATGTGGTTGGCTGAATTAAATCCACATGAGAAACCCTAGATCTAAGGCTCTGATACC